ACACAACCAAATGTTCGATCGTTCTAAACTAATATCTGCATAGTTTAATAAAGACATGGATACTAGGTTGGTGTAGGATGGATACTGAACACAGAATAATAGTTCATTTCAACGATAATACTAGTAAGTAGATAAATAAGGATACGACTCCCCCACAACATGAATACAGTTTCATCGGTGTTATCGTCATCATCCGACTCTGAATTGGAAATAAAAAACAACTCAACAAGGACATCAAGGAACATCGCCACAAATCAATCCGTGTAAAAGTCACAAACCTTGTCATACACGTCCACATAGACACCCTTCTAATATTCATTCATTGCAAAACAAATATAAACACCACCCAGTTTAATATCCGACCACAAGACGACCACATAAAAAACTAAACCTTAACCCTAAAAAAGAAACCCTAAACTCTAACACTAAAACACTAATCACTACTCCGAATCTACTCGAACACCAAACCTTTTTTCTGTGAGCATAACACTAAAACCCTAACAATAGTATCAGATGGCTCCAAAAAAGTATCCACATCATAATCCAAGAGACTAGTATCCTGACTAATATCTTATTGTTGTACACTAATCCGAATAGTTACCAAAAGTGTTAGATGCTTAAATAAACAAAGGATCATATCGAAATAGTTACCAAAAGGGCCCTATTAGAATATCCAAACGTCCCAGAAAAATATTTGAAAATATGAACTAATGAACCCTAAACCCTAAAACTAAAATGAATATTCACACTACCCAGAAGAATATCCACACCACCCAGTCTAATATCCCACCGTCTTAGAAAAATATATTGTGATCCCAAAATTAAGATTATCCATATATAACATACTAATATCCATCACACGCAGACTAATATCTTATTATTGTACACTAATCCGAATAGTTACCAAAAGTGTTAGATGCTTAAATAAACAAAGGATCACATCGGAAATAGTTAGCAAAAGTGTCCCATTAGAATATCAAAACGTCCCAAAAAAATATCCGAAAATATGAACTAATGAACCCTAAACCCTAAAACTAAAACGAATATCCACACTACCCAAACAAATATCCACACCACCCAATCTAATATCCTTCTATCTCAAGAGAATATCATGTGATCCCAAAATGGATATTATCACTATGACAGACTAATATCCACCACATACTGACTAATATATGATAGTTGTAGACTAATCCGAATAGTTACCAAAAGTGCCCCATTAGACTTATCCAAACGTCCCACAAAAATATCCAAAAACATGAACTAATATCCGAACCACATAAAATAATATCCATTTATTGCAAACGACCATAAGACTAATAAACCCTAACCCTAAAAAAACTAAACCCTAACACTAGAACCCTAATCACTAAACCCTAAACCATAAAAGCTATTATTATTTCATGGGCCTTCGGCTTATGGGCCCTTGGCGGACAACCCTAACTAAGGTTGCAAGCCTTATGTATTAAGACTTGATAGCGTGTTTAGTTTTGACGGAAGACACAATATCCATCGCATATAATATCAGTTCATGCAAAAATTAGTTTGTCAATTGCCCAGACTAAACCGTAAACCCAAACGTTAAACTCTAAATCGTAAACCTGAACCCTAAAACCTAAACTCTAAATTGGTATAATCAATTTCGGGTGGTTGGGTTATATTGGGGTTTGGTAAACATTAGTTCCATGATGGATATTGGTTTGCGAAAAAAGAATACTAGTTTATTTCAACAATGATACAAAGTAATATCAACACAACACAGATTAATATCGGGTGAAAACAAATAAATATCCACACAAACATACATAAATATTACATGGATAAGCGGGCCCACAATATTCGTTCTCTCTCCGTTCCTCTCCAAAATCCTGTCTAAACTGAAGCGGGCCTACAAAACTGCTTCTTCGGCGCGTCCACCAAGCCGCAGAATGGGCCGGCTTATACCATCAAACCCATCACAAGTGAGCCACCAGAACTTGCCTCTCTCATTCGTTGGATCTTACCTCGACGTGGCATAGGGGTGGGCATCCGGTTCGGTAAACCCGAACCGAATCAGACCGAAACCAAACTCGGCCGAACCGAAACCGAAATACTACTATTCGGTTCGGAAATCGAAAGGGAAATCTGGAAAGTTCAGAAATCAGGGTCCTTTCGATCGAACCGAGATTCCGAAATTCCGACCGAAAAACCGAAATATATTAAATAAGCCCAAAATCCATCAATATTCCCCAACACCCTAAGCCCAAATGAAACACACTGAGCCCAAAAGAAACCTAACCCACTAAGCCCAACCAAAACCCTAACTTCTACAGCCCCAACCCTCTCCCTCTCTCCCCTCTAGCCTCTCAACCCTCGCCTCTCACATTCTCAGCAACTGTCGTCCGCCAGCCAACCTTCTCCAACCACCACACGACTTCGTTGCATCAAATCCAATGACTAGTGGCGCCCTGAGCAGCCATCTCCGACCTGCCTCCCTTCGATCGCTTTGCCAACAAAATGTGAGGAAGACACTCTGAGTCTTGGCTTTGCATGCGACGGGACTTGTGAAAGGAGTGTTCTGGGTCTGATAGGTAGAGGATGATGGTCGAGATTGGGGGAATCGGGAAGTCGGGAAGAAGAGACGATGGTTGTCGGTCGAGTTGAGGGAGTCTGGGAGAGAGGGAGAGGAGAGGATGATCGAGTTGAGAGGGAGATGTGACGACTGTAGAGTAAGAGTTGGGGGAGTCGATCGGAGATTGAGGGAGAGACTGGAGAGGGAAGTCGGAGATCGAGGGTTTGAGGAAGAGAGCGGAGAGCCAGAGCAAGAGAGAGGATTGGTGGCGGCTGTAAGTGTGACCCAAAATCCTAAGGAAAGGGGGAAATAAAAGAAAATGAGGAGGCGCTGATGGTAGGTGATTATCTTTCGGTTTGGGGTCTTGAAACCAAACCGAACCGAAATATAATTCGATTCAGTTTGGTTCGATTTGGTTCGACCAAACCGAATCGAATTATATTTCGGTTCAAATTCGGTTTGACCTATGGGATAAGTCGAAAATCATGTATACTGCATTTCGGTTCGGTTTGGACCAAACAGATGCCCACCCCAAACGTGACATCAAATTTGATCCTATTAGTATCTGCTAACCGATCCAGGAGTTAGAGAATAACTTGTGCGGGGAAAAGTTAATCTGCTAACTTGAAAATTCATTAGCAGATACTAACTGATATCCAAAATATATGAACTAGTATCCAAGTATTAAAGTATCTAGAGAGCACAGACTAGTATTTAAAGTTTGCTAACTGATATCCACCATGAATCAACTATTATCCCAAATTCACAAACTAATATCTAGACAACACAGAATAGTATTCATACAGAACATAATTAGTATTCAGATAACGCATAAAAGTATCCAAATAACACATAAGAGTATCCATATTGAATACGTGTGGATATTAGTTGGTATCTGCTATCTGGATACTAGTTTATGATGCTTTGAATACTAGTCTGTGCTATCTAGATACTCAACAGACTTGGATATTAGTTCATACATTTTGGATATTAGTTAATATATACTAATAAATTTTCAAGTTAGCAGAATAACTAGGCTGGCTTGTGCGGTGGCAGTGTGGCACTCCTCCAACTATGGGAAACTAGAAAATAGGAAGGGAAACACACACTTAGAGAAAGGTAAAGTTGGTGAGAGAATTTGCTCTGCCCTCTCTCCTTTTTTTCCCCGTTTCCGACCGTTTGAATGTCCACCGACCCTAAACCTCCCGAGACGAAGGTCGATCACTCATTGAAGTCTCCGGACGGATCGTTGGCGGGATCGCCGGCGGGATCGCCAATCCAGCCCAGCAAAAAATCGAAGAATTCCTCCAGCGAAGGGTTCTCGGGACAGAGGGATATGGAGATTGCTAGCTCTACCGTGACGGCTAGAGCAAAGTATGACGATTCAGAAATGACGAAGGAGGTAAGGGATACCATTGAACAACTGCTGCCGACAAGTGAAGACGAGCCGATGAAACCGAAGATTTCATACAAGGACTCATTCCTCGGAAACAAGCCGGTGCAACCGATTCCTGACGGGGATGAGCTTATGTCCGACGAATCGGAAGGGGAAGATGGCGATGATGATCCTGATTGTCCCACCATCAGAATTAAAAAGAGCACCAACGCGAGAGTGTACCAGAAATGGTGCCAAGCCATAACTTTCCGTATCCTTGGTAAGACCTTCTCCTTTGCCTTTATTCAGCGAAGAGTACAAAGTATGTGGGCAAAGACGGGTGGAATCAAAGTGGGAGATATTGGAAATGGGTATTTCCAAGCCTGTTTCAATTCGCACCTGGATTACAGCAGAGCTCTATATGGAGGGCCATGGACAATCGACGACCATTACATTGCAGCAGAGCCTTGGAGACTTGATTTCGATCCGGACTTTGACGTCATCAATCGGGCTGCGGTTTGGGTAAGACTCCCCCGGCTTCCCCTTGCCTACTTTGATGAAGAGATCTTGCTCGACATTGGCAGTAAACTGGGTAGAGTTGAAAATATCGACTACAATACGTTGAATGGATTTCGTGGGAATTATGCACGCCTATGTATCGAAATTGATCTGAGGAAAAGACTTGTGTCCAAATATCGACTTAAACGGAGAGTCCGCAGGGTGGAGTATGAAGGCTTGCATACGGTCTGCTTTGCTTGTGGACATTATGGCCACATGGATGAGAGCTGCCCTGCAAAAGGGAACACCCAGATGCAAGACCACAAGTCGACTGATGAGAGTCAAGCTACGAAAAGTCAAGAGGTGAGACCAGAGGTTGTTGAAGATTTTGGACCCTGGATACTAGCTACGAGGACCAAGAGAAGGAAGCAACAAACGAGAAGTAAGAGACAGTCTGAAGGGGGAACAAGAGGAACGACAAACGAAGGCGGGGCAACCGGCTCACGATTTAGTACCTTGGCGAAGGACAATGGGGATACCACTGTCGAAACTAGTACGGAGAGGGAAGAACAACAGATGGAAGTGGAAAATGAAGTTGACGTTACAGACTCGACTCTGGTGGACATGGGCAGCAAAGGAAGTGTTGTGACTCCTGTCGAAACTCTGCTAAAGGAAAGTGGAACTAAAGAGAAACTAAGTAGGAAAAAAGAGGCTGAAAATCTAAAGAAAGTCAAGCAGCAAGGAAAAAGCTTGGGCATTCCAAGTCATATAAAAAAGGATAACCAGAAAAGTTCTCCGGATAGCCAGCAAGGGAAAAGAAAAGAAGCTACCCTCCACAAGATGTCGGAGCAACGGGGAATCAAAACTCCAACCGGAGAAAAAGACAAGGGTAGAGACACTAAAGTTGTGCCACCTAGCTCTAGCAATGTGAAGAATAATGGAACAGCCTCCCCTATGGTCATCAAGCCAGGTCTTTGCTCCAACCTGAGAAGTGAAGGCACTGGTTTAAATGATTTCACAGGGAACCAACCCAAGATGAGACTCCTCACTCATGTACCTCCTGGGAATGACCCTCCAGTTGTCAGTAAGTACTCCCCTGAGAATGGAAAAGTACACCCAAGAAAGATCGACTTTGCTCCCCAGCAGCAGGTTGTGAAGGGTGATTCGCCTGAAACTGCGAATGCTATGGAGGCCACCTCAAGGGGTGATCCAGGACCAAAAGAGGCGGCCATGGCCGTCGATCAAGACTGACTTTTATCTACCTGACCAAGGAAGTCACTTCTTCTTCATCATCCATGATTAAAGTGCTTGCTTGGAACTGTAGGGGTGCAAAGCACCCCAATTTTCATTCTACTTTAGAGTTTTACAAGGCATCTCACAATCCAAATGTGATTTGCATTTTGGAACCACGTATCAGTGGTAAGGACGCCATTGACGTTATTAAGTCTTTGGGATTCGATGCTTGGGAGGTATCAGATGCGGTTGGGTTCAGTAGAGGGATTTGGGTGCTCTGGGATAGTACTCAACTCCACTTTGAGGTCCTTGACTGTGATAAGCAGTACCTTCACCTGAAATACTCTAAGGCTGGCAAGGTTAGAGGGCTACTAACAGCAATCTACGCTAGTCCTAACGAGTATGAGAGAAGGGATCTCTGGAGTTTCCTTAGAAGAACTGAGAGGAATGTTAATTCTCCATGGTTGTTAACTGGTGATTTTAATTCAATCACTTGTCCCTCCGAGAAGGAAGGAGGAGCCCCCTTCAACTATGCTAGAACTCGTGCCTTCAATGAGTGCATAGATGATTGTGGGTTCATTGATCTTGGCTTTTCAGGTCCTAACTTCACGTGGTTCACTAGATCATCTAGGGTGAAGGAAAGACTCGACAGGAGCTTATGTAATTTGGAATGGCGGCGACAGTTTCCCCAAACTAATGTCTCCCATCTGACCAAACTTAAGTCAGATCACCGTCCAATCCTGACGTGCAGCTCAAGTCCTCCATCAAAGGAAAAACCGGTGAGACGTTTCCAGTTTCTTGCACCTTGGCTTGTACATGCTGATTTCTTTAACTTCCTTGCTGCCTCTTGGAATTGTGGAGTTGATTTTCCTTTGTCTTTGCAGGGATTTACAGAGAAGCTCTTAATTTGGAATAAAGATGTTTTTGGTAACATCTTCCAGAGAAAGAAGCATCTCAACAATAAATTGCGCACGCTGGAGCTTCGTAATGAGCGAGCACCAAGTCGGTCGTCTATGGAAAAGGAAGAGCACATTAGAACTGAGCTGGAAAACACCCTTTGGCAAGAGGAAATGCTCTGGATACAGAAGTCTAGGGCGAATTGTTACCTCTTCGGCGACAAGAACACACGCTTCTTTCACCAGAGTACCCTTAGTAGAAGAAGGAGAAACAAGATCACGAGCTTGAAAGATGAGGAAGGAGCCTGGATTTCTGATCCTGACACCCTCAAGGACATGGCCAGGGGTTTTTACGTCAAGCTCTTTACAAGAGAGGGAAGGGAGAACCTATCAAGTATTGCTGCTGACTTCCCACATGTGGACTCGTCTTCAGCCAGCAGAATTGGTGTGGTCCCGAGTGGAGATGAAATCAGAAGGATCATCATGGATATGAACGGGTTAAAAGCACCTGGAAAAGACGGATTTCAAGCCATCTTTTTCCAAAAATGCTGGAAGCTTGTTGGAACTAACTTCTCCAGTTTTATTATGGATTGTTTTCTGAACCCCTCCAAAATTAGATGCATAAATCAGACCCTTTTAACCCTGATTCCCAAAGTGGATTCTCCTGCTTCTATGAGTCAGTTTCGTCCTATTAGCCTTTGCAACACTTCTTGTAAAGTTGTGGCAAAGCTCTTGGCTAATAGACTGAAACCACTCATGCCGCAGCTGATCCACCCAAATCAGTCTAGTTTTGTTCCTCAACGACACATTTCTGATAATATTGTTATTCTGCAGGAAACGGTGCACTCTATGTCGAAGAAAGGTGGGAAGAAAGGTTTGATGCTGCTAAAGGTTGACCTTGCAAACGCCTACGACAGAATCGACTGGAGCTTTCTAGAGGAGACGTTGTTGTTGGCTGGGCTTCCTGCCCCTTGTGTCAATCTTGTTATGTCTTGTGTTACTTCGGTTGAAATGCAGGTGCTTTGGAATGGAGGAGAGACCGAGCCATTCTCAACTTCTAGAGGCCTTCGTCAGGGATGTCCTTTGTCGCCCTACTTGTTTACTTTGTGCATTGAGAGACTTAGTCATGTCATCCATAGGAAAGTGAATGCTAAAGAATGGAAGCCGATTTACCTGTCTTGTGGTGGTCCTCCCCTTTCCCATCTTTTTTTCGCCGACGACCTTGTTCTTTTTTCGGAGGCCTCTGTTGAGCAAGCTGATTGTATTTTGCAGTGCCTGAATGCTTTCTGTGATGCTTCTGGTGAGCTTGTGAGTAAGGAGAAGTCTAGGATTTTTTTCTCTAAGAATACTAGTCTGATTGCTAGGAAGAACATCTGCTCTAGGTTAGATATTCAGGCTACTGAGGATCTTGGTAAGTACTTAGGTGTGCCAGTTATCCATGGTAGGTTGACTAAGAATACGTACAGGTATATTATTGAAAAAATTGATAGGAAACTGACAACATGGAAAGCTAGAACACTTTCTCTTGCTGGTAGAGTTACTCTTGCCACAGCTGTCTTAGAAGCTATCCCACTGTATGCTATGCAAACTACTTTGCTACCTGCCTCTGTTTGTGACACAATTGATAGGAAAATAAGATGGTTTGTGTGGGGTTCTCAAGAGGGTAAAAGGAAGGTTCATTTGGTATCTTGGGATAAAATTTGCAAAGCTAAAGATCAGGGAGGTCTGGGTCTCAAAATAGCTCGAGGCATGAACTTGGCTTTCATGGTTAAACTGGCTTGGCAGATCTTCAATAATGATTCGGATTTGTGGGTGCAGGTTATTCAAGGGAAATATTTTCACTACAAGGATGGACGAATTGATGCCATGAAGACCAGCAATCATTCTAGTCTGTGGAAGGCTATTTTGAAAGCAATGCCCTATATGAGGAAGGGACTTGTCTGGAGTGTTCGTGATGGAGAGACAACGGGTTTTTGGACCCATCCTTGGCTCGATAAGGACAATGTGTTGGAGGATTTTGCTACTGTTGATCTGTCCATGGAGGAGAAACATTCCAGCATTGCAGAATGGACCAATGGGGATGGTGAGTGGAATTGGGAGAAACTTAATGCTTTCCTTCCTAATGAGATTCTTGTGCGGATTGCAGGGATGGAAGCACCAAGTCCAGGGCTTGGTGAGGACAAGACTTTGTGGGGAATGGAGAAAGATGGGAGATTCAAAATCAACTCTGCCTACCGTCTTGTGGAGGGAGAGCTGGAGCAGGAACCAATTCAAATCTGGGATGACTTGTGGAAATGGAGTGGTCCAAGCAGAGTTAAACTTTTCCTTTGGCTTGTCACACACAATAAGCTCCTCACTAATGCGGAAAGGAAAAAGCGCCAACTTACTGCTAATGACTCGTGCAACAATTGTAAAGATGAAGAAGAAACTCTCGAGCATATCCTTAGAAGATGCAAGAAGACTGCAGGAATCTGGAAAGTGTTCAGTGGAAAGGTGAAAGAGAAAAGAAACAACATCAATTTTGTGACATGGATCAACAGTAACATTAAAGCTGAAAACACAGGAGTTGACTTCGGCCTTATTTGCTGGCTGATTTGGAAACAAAGAAATGAGGAGGTTATGGATGGTAAGAGCTACTCGGAGGACGGTTTGATTTGCAGGATCAAGGCGTGGTTCAAAATTGCTGAACAAGCTAAGCAGAATTCTGATTTGTGCTCTCCCCCATCGAACACTCATCGGATGGATCTTCAAGTCGGCTGGAAACCACCAAGAGAAGGTTGGGTTCAAGTTCAGACTGATGGCTCGGTTTTGGGGGATTCTCTTGCTGCTGCAGCAGGTGGTCTTATAAGAGACAGATTTGGTAAATGCTTAGATGCCTTCTCTTGCAACCTTGGTGTCTGCTCTATCACAAGTGCAGAGCTCAAGGGCGCGACTGTTGGGCTCGAAAGAGCTTGGCAGCTCGGATTCAGAGCTGTAGAGTTAAATCTTGACTCTCAAACAGCCATTAATATCATCAAGAATTGGCAGGATGATGATCATCAGCACGGTTTGTTTGCCAGCAAGATTGGGCAGCTACTCACTCGTGACTGGCAGGTGGAAGTGAAGCATGTCTTTAGAGAGTGTAACTACTCTGTTGATTTTTTGGCTTCTAAGGGTCACTGTCTTCCTTTTGGCACCCATTATTTCGATGTGTGCGACCCTCACCTGTACCACTGGTTATTGTATGACGTTATGGGTAATACCATGACCCGTTCTATTAATATGATGATCTAGGACGCTTTCGTCCTGCTTTTTACCAAAAAAAAAAAAAAAAAAATAGGAAGGGTTTTCTCACAGTTCGAATGAACTCACCCCTGCCTCTTCGCTGACGCCGAGAGAATGAAGAAGCCCATCTCTCGATTAGCTTAAGCACTCATTTTCCGTCTCTTCGTTTTCATTTTTCAATTTTGTGTCCATCGATCGTCTTCGTCGTCTCTTTTCATCCCTCCCCTGCAGTTCGCGTAGCGAGGGATTCAGAAACTGACCGCCTCCGCGTGGCCCTCGTTTCAATTGGGGCAAAGCCATGCCCCTTTTCATCACCGACGACGAGCTTGCTCGTTACTCCAACGACGCTCCCCACGTCGCAGCTAGGGCTGACGATTACATCAGGCGCTTGCAGACGGAGCTCGAGACCGTCAAGGCTGCCGCAGATGCCAATGCGGTCACCGCCGAGCAGACTTGTTCGCTTCTCGAGCACAAGTTCTTGTCCCTCTCCACCGAGTTCTCCACGCTCCAATCGCAGAACGCACTTCTCCAGTCCACGCTCGATGAGCGTCTCTCCGAGCTCGCCGAAGCCCAGGCTCAGAAGCATCAGCTTCACCTGCAATCGGTAGTCATGCTGAGTTTTGGCTGCTTCTTCGTACATTCATGTTTTAGGTCCATGATCGTTGTATCGTGTATCCATGACTTAGGTTTCACGTACTAGCTCTTCGAAATTGAGTGGTGGATGTGGTGGAAAAGTGAAATTCACGCTGCTAACTGCCACTTCTTCTTGTCACGTAGATGGGGAAGGATGGCGAAGTAGAGAGGTTGGCAACAGACTTGTCGGAACTGCGTAAGAGCAATAGGCAGTTGCTTGAGTTGGTGGAGCAAAAAGACGCGGAGATCAACGATAAGAAAGCTACTATTAACAGCTATCTCGATAAGATTGTGGGTTAACCCGTGAACTCAATTTTGCTGCTTAGCTTTACTTGCTGGCCATTTATTTATCGTTTCTTTGTTTCCTGAACAAAGCTATTCCTCATTTCCTTTGTTCATTGCTGTGTTGGTTTTCCCCCCCTCTTTCTAAGGTTAATTTGACGGAGAGTGCATCAAAGAAGGAAGCTCGACTATATGAGGTTGAGGCAGAGTTGGTGCATTCTCAAGCTGCCTGCTCTCGCCTTTCACAGGTCAGTGCAGTGCTCCCTTTTCGGAATCCCATACGAAGTTGCCCCATAATGACCCTATCACTTGGCGGGATTTTTTTTTGTTCTGAAGCATTTTCTCCGGATGGCGATGTTTTTTGTGTGTGTGTTGGGGCTTGGGGGGGGGGGGGGGATTACCATGCATCCGTTTCCTCTGTGTGTGTCAATAACTGTAGATTGGATCTTAATGAAGTTAAATATTATGTGATTAGGAGAAAGAAATTGTGGACAGACATAACTCATGGCTAAATGATGAGCTGACAGCCAAAGTCGACAGTTTGATTGAGCTGCGCATAAGACATTCCAATCTAGAGGAAGATCTGTCTGCTAAGCTTGCATGTGTAAGTAATAAGTATACTAATGAATGTCTCTCTGGTTTTGGGCTTCTGCTATGACATATCTTTCTTTCTTGTGTGGTTATGTGTTGGTAACTGCCTTGATCCTGTAGGCTGAGAAACAATTGAGTGAATCTTCAAGCTCTGCACAGAGGAACAAGGATAGAGCAGATGAGCTTGAAGCGAAATTAACTTCCTTGCAAGAGGTGAATTTCTCTTTATTTTATTTAATCTCTGTTTGTATGTGTGCCAGTCCATTGATTCTAGGTGTCTTATGAATGGCCTTTTGTACATGATGAAGGAATTATGCTCTACTAAGGATGCTGCTGTGACAAATGAAGAGCAACTCTCTGCTGAACTCTCTACTGTAAGTGATGAATTTTTTTATGACGTAACTGAAGAACATATTTGGATTGTCGGATGTTGATGGTTATTCCAACTAAGTTGGTTCACTTATTGCATAATATTCTGCAATCTGTTTTCATTCAGTTTCCACTGAGTATTTTCCCAGTATTCCTGGTATTTTTGGATGGCATATCTATTTATACATTCAATTGTTGGCATGTCAGGAAAATCTGGAATTTTGAGTCATGGAATGTGACATATTTATCTGATTTCCTGCTAGTGTAGGCAAATAAACTAGTTGAACTTTATAAGCAAAGCTCCGAGGAATGGTCAAGGAAAGCAGGGGAGCTTGAGGGTGTCATTAGAGCTTTAGAGGTAATCTCCTTGTATTACTTTGTCCAACAAATTCTCTATATTCCATGAAAATTATACCCTCTGTACCATTAATCTCTTTTTGCCTGTTGAGCAGACTCATTTGGGTGAGCTTGAAAATGATTACAAAGCTAGACTCGAAAAAGAAGTCAAATCAAGAAGCCAATTAGAGAAGGTAAGCTGTTTTGTGTTGCTTATTATTTTAGGTTCTAATTTAGTTGTCGCATGTTGAAGTATACACATCCTTTTGTGTTTCCCCGTTTTCGTGGTGGTTGTTGTAAAATGATGGACCATCTGATTTCAGTCATCAATTTAAAAGGTCGCTATCATTGTTCTTCATTGCAAGAAGATGGACCTAAAGTTATTGAATCTGGGTATACGTTGTATATACAGTTCTTATTCACTAGTGGGCCCACTATACTGATTGTGGACTGAACACTCAGCTGGCTTTATGCAGGATATTTGGTCATGGAAAGTGACTATAGTTGTGCAAGTGATACCTTGTTTGAGAGTTTTTCGCATGTTGTTATTTAATTTCTATTTTCATAGCTACTGATAAACTTGTTCTGACTATCAACTGGAAGTTCCATATCAAGTTTTCCCTTATTGTCTGTTCTTCAGCTTATTGTGTCTTGTTGATGCTTGATTTTTAGGTTTCTTAGTTGCTATCTTTTTCTTTTGGGTAATAGGAAGCTGCTGATCTCAGAGGAAAACTTGAAAAATGTGAAGCTGAGATTGAAAGTAGCAGGAGAAATAGTGAGCTTAATCTACTTCCACTCAGTAATTTCTCGACAGAAAGGTATGTTGTTCACTGTCCAAGAATTTTTTTGTGGTCTCTTCTTACGTGTAATGAAGATAAAGACTGTGGGACTCTTTCTACTACTACTAATTTGTTTGTGCGAGGAATGCAAAATGTGTCTAGAGTCTAGACCTTATTGGGAGTATTATTTTCTGCCTCAGATGTGATATTCGAAATGTGCAATCTCTTATGTATGAGAGTAATAATGTGTCCTGCTTAATAATTCGAGCATTGTTTACTATGGTGCCAAGCTGAGATTATTATTGTATTAGAGCTATGCACCCTGCTTGATAATCCGAGCATTGTTTATGTGATTAAGGCATATTCCCAAGCCGAGGATATTATCATGGTAGAACCACTAAACAGTTTCTAAAGGTGTATGGAGAGAGGCCTCTCCCTTGCTTTGTGGACTGGTTCTTAATGAGTTTTCAGGTACTGATTCATTAGTGTTGCAAAACTTAGAGAAACTCTGGATGCAGTACAATGTCAGAACCGTAACGCCTGAAAGAAAGTTCATGCAAAATGTTGCTTTTCGGGTGTCTACTTGTGTAAAACATGGACTATTTGTTAGATCTTTCTCTACTCTTCATGTTGCATACAACCTAAGCCATGGAGTCTGCAGTCTGAGATCAAAGTTGTGAGCATTCATTTGCATTTTTAAATAATGGTTACTAAGTGCAATTATTGGAAAGTTGTATGGAAGTCTTAAAGAAGTTTGTTTCTGTCGGCTGATTCCCACAATTTAAGCTGTAGGCTTTGGGAATCGAGTCCAGAAATAAAATTTTATCCTAACCATAGAGATTGTCATCATATGAAGTCAGGTATTAGCTGGTTGTGATGTCCTCTTTGGATGTTGATGCTTCACAAGCTGAATTGGCGTGCATCCAAAATTGTTTTGACATGCAATTGGGCAACACTCTACCATGGTGTTAATATTTTATGATGGTTCATGGATCAGCGTGCAGACTGTTTACCTGACAAAAATGAGCATCTGGACCCTAGTTTTCCGGTTTAATTATGTCAAATGTTCTCATCTTTATCTCGCAGGTGGGCGGCCCAGTCTGATAGCAATGTCTCCATGGAGGATACTGACATGCTTGTTCCAAAGATTCCTCCTGGCGTTTCAGGGACTGCATTAGCAGCTTCTCTACTTCGCGATGGATGGAGTGTGAGTTGTATGACTTGTTCTTCTTACATACAATAGTAATCTTGCTTTGATTTTGAATTCATGTTGCATTTTTGTAGCTGGCTAAGATGTATGCAAAATACCAAGAAGCTGTTGATGCTCTGCGCCATGAACAACTAGGAAGGAAGGATGCTGAAGCTGTATTGCAACGGGTATGATGTTCATCACATTTCTTATATCATTGATGCGTCATGAGTAGTTGTGATTTGTCCCCACCTTTAGGTTTTGTTATTATTAGTATTTTTCTTACAACAATGGTGCTGTTATTTGTTCGATTCTGGAATCACTTGTCCTTTCCTTCTCCAGGTTCTGTTTGAACTGGAGGAGAAAGCAGGAGTTATTTTGGACGAAAGAGGTATAAATTCGGATAAAGTGGACCTTGAGGAAGTTCACATTTCCTTCCTTAGCTATCAATTTCTTTTTCCTAGAGCCATCCAATTCCTGATTTAGCAGTTGAACTGTTTGATGCTCTTTTGAGATATTTCTTTAGTGGGTTTATGCCAATATATTGATGAATTGCTATGCGTTGCAGCGGAATATGAGAGAATGTTGGAGTCATACTCCATCATTGGCCAAAAGTTGCAGCAGTCTGTATCAGAGCGGGGGAACCTGGAAAAAATGATCCACGAATTGAAGGTATGTTCCGTCAATGTCACTTTCAGAACTTTTTTTTTGTGGCTGCTTGTTGATTGCAAATTTTCAGGCTGAACTAAGGAGGAATGAAAGACACTATGATTTCGCCCAGAGGGAGATTGTTGACCTTCAGAAGCAGGTGGAACATCTCTTGTGCCTAACTATTGTCTGATCTGCTTAAATGTGTACAAGGTTTTCAAGTTGATCTGGTTATGTTTTTGTTAGTAATTTTGTCCATCTGGCATTGTTCATGCAGTCGTATCTGATAGGTGATTGCAGTACTCTGCTGTTCTTGTTCTTAGTGCTTCATGTTTCTTCTTTCCTGCCTGTTATCATCGACAATGATTCATTGATTTTTATTTTGCTGGGATCAAATACAAGTAGATAAAGCAAACTTACTGTCCATGGTTTTTCAAAGCTTGAAGATATTGTTATGGAGTTATCGACCCGGACCTTGCCTTACTGTCTGCATATTTTGTAATGTTTCAGGTTACTGTTCTTCTGAAGGAATGTCGCGATGTGCAACTACGATGTGGATTGGGGGATAATGATGGTGACGACTCTTCCATTTATGCTGATGTTGGTATGGAAACAAACGCTGTTGCTGATAATGTCATTTCTGAAAGGCTTGTAAGTTGTTTCATTAATTATTGCCGGTTGTTTGCAAGATTTATTTGTACAGCTTAGCTATATTTGGCATCTATTCCAACATTATGCAGTTGACTTTCAACGACATAAATGGATTAGTTGAGCAGAATGTGCAACTCAGAGGTCTTGTGCGAAGTCTTTCAGATCAGATTGAAAATAGGGAGTCAGAGTTCAAGGTATTTGACAACTCAGCCGTACTTGTGTTCCAATTATTGCATGATTTAATGCTTTTGTTCCACTGGTCTGCATGCTTTAGAATTCGGATGTACCATTGCAGGAGAAACTAGAAATGGAACACAAGAAACTCACTGATGAAGCTGCCGCTAGAGTTGCAAATGTCTTACAAAGGGCAGAAGAACAAGGGAACATGATTGAAAATCTTCGTGCATCTGTATTGTTCCCTCTCCCACAATTTTCGTGTTTGACTCTTAGCTGCATTTTCGTCTCTCTCTGAGTAATGCTTTGTGCTATTCTTGTAGTTACAGCTTGTCTTTATTCTCAATCCTTGTAGTTTGCAATGTACAAAAGGTTATATGAGGAGCAAAAGAAACGACAGTCACCGGATACACTTCTACATTCTTCAGAGGCAGCTCTAGGTTACTGTCATTGTCAAATAAATTGTTGTTTTTTTGGTTTGCATCTCTGGCTCTGAATTTCAACTACTGATTTGTGGTTACTGAATGTGCATTCTCATAACTTCTCGACATTTTGAGTTGCTATTGTACCAATAGCGACAGTGTTTCCTCAGAACTTCTCTTGACATAAGAGGCATTGAAGTGTTGCCATCTCCCATCATTGTGCTAATATATGTCCTTTTGTATTAAAGATAATATGTTATACATCTAGGTTCTTGGCATAATTATTATGATTCGCCTTGTTCAGTGGTATGGACATAGAATCTAGTAGCTATATATGGTACTTTCTGGCTAGTTGAGATTTTCTTTGAAAGACTTCTGAGACCACACTCTTATCTTGGATATGCCCGTTTGATAGAAATGTATTGTCCTTTCCTTGATGCTACATGAGCTCTCTTGTCTTTTTATGCTGTTACTTGGAATCTTTATTTGCAGTGCTAAACATGCTAATGGATGTTTTGTTTAGTTAAATTGTTAGATGTTGCATTTATGGAAGTAACAGGACACTTGCAGTCGTTCTAAATAGTTTGCTTTTTATATGTATGTTACGGTTATTGGTCCCAACTCGGTTTTCAATTTGTATATGTAGAGAATGGAGGGAAGGATCTTCTGTTTGTCCTTGAGGGTGCTCAGGTTCTGTCAAAACAATTAAATTTTGTTTTATTGTTTAATTTGTAGGTGGAGAGATTATTGATTCTAGACCTTCCGTGCTTATGTTTTTGCTATTCTTAATTAGATGCAGGAAGCTAGCAAGATGGCTCAAGAAAAGGTTGCGAAGCAGTTGGGATCTCTTGAGGAAAAGCTGTCAAAAGCTAGGTAATGATTTGGAGGAAATTTGGGTTTAAGTGACAGGGGAGTGTTGTCTTTCCCGAATGCCACGTCAGCACATCAGTGTATGATGTACTGTAACTTATTTTAATACTGCTTCAGATCTTATTGACTGCATACCACAACTACACTCCTTTATTATCATTCTGTGCTACCTGATATTGTATCAGCCTATCAGGCTTTGCCATGACGATGCTATAATGAGTCTTGTCTTCACTGAAGTATAGGTTGCCAATATATAAGTGCCCTATGATCCGAGAAATAATTCTCTTCAATGCCCCTGAAGCTCTTGCCTCTAGCCTGTCAATTCTCATTCAACCTTTCTTCTCAATGTTGATAGCTGAATGTTCACTTATTTATTTATTTATCTATTTATCTATTTATTTATCTGTCTGTATGTTGGTGCTTGTGCTTAACTTAAATGTTATTTTGTTGTGGCTAGGAGTGAACTTGTATCATTGCAATTGGAGCGTGACAAGTTAGGTTCGGAGGCAAAGCATGCAACTGAAAAACTGGAGAGGTTTATGAAAGAATTTGAACACCAGGTTATTTTTTTTGAGTTGATAGTTCTTTGACTGGTCCTAACAGAGCAGTGGTTTGGTGGAATTATTAAGATGCACCATTTTTTCACGAGTATATAATGAGGATTTAGGATGGTATAATGTATGAATTATGTAGCTTATTCTATCTCAATGATTTTGTAGTTCTTCCAGAAAAGAACATGTTTTATTTTAATTTTGCAAGTTGATTCATGCTGGTTCTGCTGTGTTCTTGTTTGACATTCCCTTTCCTGTCCCAAGCCTTTTATTCAGTTCCTTCGTGACTTGTGATTGACAGGACGGTCGAATCAAAGGTCTCGAAGCACGCAACTTAGAACATGGCCGCCTGATTCTTGACTTCCAGAAAAGATTAAACGAAAGCATGCATGTTCAACATGCTTCTGAGGATCATTGTCGGAAGCTAAACATGGAGGTAAAAGAGCTGGAGATTGATATGTTGGATGATGATTTTTGTGCATGGTTGTCATGTCATAATACTTGTTGATAGGTATCGGCCCTAAAGCATGAGAAGGAAATGTTATCAAACGCTGAAAAGAGAGCATGCGATGAAGTTCGTAGATTGTCAGAGAGGGTGCATAGGCTGCAGGTTTGGAAAGCAATCTGCTACTGTTTAGTATTGATTTTGCTTCAGTTGTCTTACATTGTATTGTCTCTGCAGTCTAGTTTAGACACTTTCCAGAGCGCCGAGGATGTTCGAAAGGTGGGTGACTTGTACTCATTCTCTCTCTCCCCCAATTCTTTTTAAATTCCATCATAGCAACTAATCCTTTTATATATTCTCGCTGTTATTCTAGGAAGCACGAGCTGCCGAGAGGAGAAAACAGGAGGAATATGTCAAACAAATTGAGGTACTTGACTTTTTATCCACACTTTATATTGGTACTTTATCAAGGTGAATGAATAGATGGTACTGCTGCTTCATCTTTCAGGGTTGAACAAATTTAGGAATGACTGTTATTTGCGCTTAGTTTAAGGCATATGCATAATCTGTGTTTGCCATAATTTATTTGCAATTTGGCCTTCATTTTTTAAAACTTTTTCTCACTGAGTTTTCGCTAATGATGGATGTTAAGAGGGAATGGGCAGAGGCAAAAAAGGAGCTGCAACTGGAGAAGGAAAATGTCAGATCCCTCACATGTGATCGGGAGCAGACTTTGAAGAATGCGATGAGACAAGTGGATGACATGGGAAAAGAGTTGGCTGATGCACTGCGTGCTGTCACAGCTGCTAAGACCAGGGCTGCTGTAGCTGAGGTTTCTAATTTTACCTGTTACTTTTATCTTAATGCCCGAGACCTGAAGTTGTCTTTCAGTGATACTTGTTTTTTTAAGACAAAAACGTTCACGACTGTTAAACTTAATATTCATTTGATCGGACCTTCTCTAAATTATATCTTGCAGACTAAACTTGATTTGGAGAAGAAGAAGGCAAGTTCTGATCAAAATGTATGCCATAATCTGTTTTCCTTGCGAGATATGTGTGTTTCTCCAGCTAAGTTACTGTCTTATTTGTTTCTCGTTTTCTTGATTTTTATATTAGTTGTTATCTTATACAATGCCGTCAACCTGCACAGGTTGCTGATGGGCTGGAAAGCAGGGCGCTCACTGTTTCCTCTGCAGAGGTCAGTGCGTGTCCATGCTTACTTTTAATGCTACGGTTTCTTATTCCATCAACTCCCAATTAATTACATTTTACAACCCGTTGCTTCTTTCTCTCTCTTCTGCAACCGTCTCTAAACTCATCCTTAATAACCATTTTCCTCTTGTAAAAAAATAATAATAACCACCTTCATCATATTTTTTGGTTTTTTCCCACAGTTTTGTAGAGATAGGTGAGATCGGAAAATTTATTTCTTTTCTTTCAATATTTATGAATAATTGCTTCTCAATTTTATCTTTCATAGCCGCTTGAAAAAATGGATTAATGATTTACCAAAAAAAATAAAGAAGGATAATGTTGACAAGGTCCAGATAATGGTATAAGTTTGCCCTTAATAATAAATTCTTATTAGAGTATCCACATCAATGTAATTGCAAAAACAATTTGCATTTGTGCTTTTTATTGTCAACTCAAATTTTTTGCAACCCACATCACATTCACTTCATTTACCTACATCAATGCAATTAACTTGCAATTGCATATGTGGGTCGAATTTATTTTTAAGGTTTGTATGTGTGTTATTTTTTAATAAAAGAAAATTACATGGCAATTGCATATGGAATTGCATAAAATGAAAACTGCATTATTGCAATTGAGACTTACGTCCATGAAATTGGTAATGCAATTGCATTTTCTTTGCCACGTCACTTTGCAATTCAATATAATTGCTTGATGTGGATGCTCTTACTTTGTTGTTCTTATATCATATATATTCCTCGCACTTGAATTTACTTCATCATCGTCCTTTAAATTCATTTACTACAAATTAGCCTCTAAATTAGATCTCATCATAAATCTATTTATTATATTTGAAATAATTTTGTTATATTTCAATGGTCATTTTTTAGAATCAATATCAAGAAAAAAATTAAATTCTATCATATTTTCTTTTTTAATGAAAGTACCATAATAATTCTATTTAGAATATCTAATTTTGAAGTATGTATTGTTTAAATTACATACTCAAAATAATTTATGCTATTCATAATCATTGAGAGACCACAAAGATGTTCTTCAAATTAATTGTAAAAATGATAAATTGCTATATTAAGAACAATTATGAATTACTTGATCTGTAAAATAAATTGCGTCAGTCACCCGGCCAATAGGCCGGGCACAAAGCTAGTCTAGTTTGGTTGAATTTCTTTGGTAGGAAAGGGCTGATCTACAGCTCGAATTTGTGCCATTATGTTTTTATCTAACACCTCTATTGCTATGTCAATCTATATTGAAGTTTGATCAGTATTCTTTTTCTGGACGTTTTTTGATGGTTACCTAAATGTGGACTAGATCACAACCGATTTGATTATGGTGAAGGAGGAAGTTGGAAAATTGAGAGAAGAAGCCCAAGCTAATAAGGAGCACATGCTGCAGGTATTTTATTGCAGTTGCTGTTGTAAATTAGAATTTTGGATTTATGACATGTACTAAGATATTTGTCATTTGCAGTACAAGAATATAGCTCAGGTAAATGAAGATGCATTGAAGCAGATGGAAGCTGCTCATGAGAACTTTAAGATAGAGGTATGTCTGAATGAAATATCAGCTCTAGTATTGGAGTTCTTTTAGCTTCATGTACAGTGTAATGCCTGTGTCCATATACTCTCTTCTGAGATTATAGCTTACAATTGTCCAGTCAGAAAAGTTAAAGGAGTCTTTGGAAGCCGAGTTGATATCTTCCAGAGTGAAGATATCTGAGCTTCACAATGAATTGCGCTTAAAGTCTGAAGAAGTTGTGTTGGCTTCTGCTGGTAAAGAAGAGGCTCTTTCTTCTGCTCTGGCTGAAATTAATGTCTTGAAGGAGGAACGTTCTAGTAAAATGTGAGATATATCCTTTACCTTCTTTTAATAAAGGTTTCCTACTATATGTAGTTTCTGACGGTCAGAAATTTTCATAGTTCTCAAGTTGTTGCACTGGAAATGCAAGTTTCTGTGTTGAAAGAGGATCTGGAGAAGGAGCATGAGCGGTGGCGGTCTGCTCAAACAAATTACGAAAGACAGGTTCATTCATTTCAGTAAAGTTGAATGTAGAATATATGAAAAGTCCTCCTGATAATAGCTGGATGGTGAAATTTTTTAGTTTGGCTGTTCTTTATCACGATTTATTTATTTTTCCTCATGAAAAAAGTTAGTTAAGTGCAATGTGCTGGCTATATCTTCGTTGAAAACAATTCTAAAAATTCTCTCTAAACTGCCGCATCGAATATGATAAATCTGTTTTTAGCAGCTGAACTGACTTCGCAGTTTCTAATTTTAATTTGAATTTTCTGTTGTCTTTAGGTCATTTTACAATCTGAGACAATTCAGGAGTTAACAAAGACATCGCAGACTTTGGCTTCCTCACAAGAGGAAGCATCTGGCTGGCATAAATTGGCAGATGAGCGAGAATGTATAAATGTGAGACTCATTTAGTTATTGCTTTGTGATTGTTGAACCCTTAGTTGGCTAGTTAGTATTTCATTTTGTTCTTTCAATATCCCCTTTTTCCCCTTGAAGTTGTTTTGCTGTCTGTGTTTGTGCTCCACCTCCTGATGTGCCTAAACTGCTCTAATTGACAATAAAATAGCTAGGGTTGCTGGAAATTGAAAGGAATTGGGAAATTTAGGGTTTTTGGTAGGTTAGATGGAGGAAGAACCGCCACACCAGTCGGTGATAAGGTTCGGGGCAAGGCGCCACAACCAGAGGTTGATAAGCCTAAGAAATCACAAGGAAATATTTCTTGCAATTCTTGAAAACTCTTATTGAAGTCTGAATACTGAATTGAATAAAACTGAACTACAAGCCTTCTATTTATAGAGAGGCTAACTCAAAAGAAAAGACTTCCTTCGACACATAGGAAACTGAAAAGTAATAACTCTACTACTAGGAAACAAATAACACCCATACTTCAGAAATTAAATAAAGCTAATATAATAAAAGACTCTTAAACCAACATGGACAACAATTAAGCATCTCTTCCAAATCCTTGTTGGACAAGGATAGTTGTAAGAAATCCTCAATTCTTCATTAACCCGTAGGTCTTGTTTGTAGACCCATTTTCACCCATCTTGAATGCTCCTAAACTCTCTTTAAACCTCCTAATTTGTCTATTGACCCATGGTCTATGTAGAGATAATTTGGAATCGAATTAGGTCATGTAGGGTTGGTATAATCCCATCATTCTCTCCCTCTTGGAAAAGATTTGCCCTCAAATCTTCTTGTGACATAGGAATGTGTTCCCATGACTCTATCATTTCCCAACATGAGTGTACTCCTTGAATATTAAGTTTAACCACAAACTCTTGAAGTCTTCGTCTTTCCCTACTACGAATTTCCTTGTACGACACTTCATTTCCAATAACAAACTCCATGTGTTCACTAATCACATCATAATCACCCATTTGAGTTGAGTTGAAATCGTAGCATAATCGCCCATCTTTAATGACCAAATCTACTCCAATAGTTGATGACTTGTCTTGAACTCCTCCTGACAAGAATATAGCGCAACCCAACAAGTCATTCTTTTCCTCTTCATTAGAGCAGCTGAAATGCACTTCTCTTTTCCCAACTTCTTTTTCGTTAACTCGGAGCACATTTTCCTTTATCTCTATATCTTCATTGTAATACACAGGCTTGGGTAGAATCCCATCTTCGGTGGTCGAGTCAACATGATTTGTAGAATCTTGAATAAGTGGCAACTCTTCTGGAACATCCATTAAACTTACCCTGTCAAAAGCCATTATCATGTTGGTGATAGGCAACATCTTCTCTTCTATCTCAAGTTCTGGTTTTTCTTCTAAAGGAATTAAAGCTTGAGCATTCTCTCCACAAGTAGTAAGTTCATCAACAAGAACCTTTTCTTCGAAATCTGGTAGAGAAAAAGGCAAAGAAACTTCATTCGAAGGTATATGTTTGTCGACTTTGACACTCCTTTTGTCAGTCTCACCACGAATTGATCTTGAAGAAGCATCAGTCTGATCAATATCAATGAATCTTGCCTTCTCAATCTCTTGCTCTTCATTCTGAAATTTGCAATATGGATCTTGCTTGTAATAGCTTGGCACAAATCTATCATTCATCAACGTCTTCATTGTTTTCCAATCCTCTATAGGGTGCCTTGTTTGAGCTTTAGCTTTCCGCCACCATAAGCTAGCATAGCCAGACAGTTTAGCTGCAACGAAACGAACCTTGACGAATTCGTGATAGTCTTGAAACTCAAAAGCAGAATCAACTTTGTCCACCCAATCCAAAAATTCTTCAGGATCACTCTTTCCGGAAAATGGAGGGATTTTAATCTTGATATCTCCATGAGTAGCTTTCCTTCGATCTCGTTCTTCATCTTTAATTCGAGCACCTCGAACAACCCTCCTAGGTTGACTCCTGCCCTTGTCATGTTCTTCATCTTTAATTCGAGCACCTCGAACAACCCTCCTAGGTTGACTCCTGCCCTTGTCATGTTGTTGGTTTTGTACCAATTGTTGGACAGTTGTAGTAAGTTGCAGCAGAGACTCTTGAAGAGATTGTAAAGTTGGCTTGACCTTTACTTCTTCACTCATCCTTCCTTTGGTTAAAGGGAATGCCACTCTAAAAAAAAAAGTTTTTTTTTGTTTTGTTTTTGACGAAAATCAACAAAAAAATCTAACAAAAACCGGAGCTCTGATACCAAACTGATGTGCCTAAACTGCTCTAATTGACAATAAAATAGCTAGGGTTGCTGGAAATTGAAAGGAATTGGGAAATTTAGGGTTTTTGGTAGGTTAGATGGAGGAAGAACCGCCACACCAGTCGGTGATAAGGTTCGGGGCAAGGCGCCACAACCAGAGGTTGATAAGCCTAAGAAATCACAAGGAAATATTTCTTGCAATTCTTGAAAACTCTTATTGAAGTCTGAATACTGAATTGAATAAAACTGAACTACAAGCCTTCTATTTATAGAGAGGCTAACTCAAAAGAAAAGACTTCCTTCTACACATAGGAAACTGAAAAGTAATAACTCTACTACTAGGAAACAAATAACACCCATACTTCAGAAATTAAATAAAGCTAATATAATAAAAGACTCTTAAACCAACATGGACAACAATTAAGCATCTCTTCCAAATCCCTGTTGGACAAGGATAGTTGTAAGAAATCCTCAATTCTTCATTAACCCGAAGGTCTTGTTTGTAGACCCATTTTCACCCATCTTGAATGCTCCTAAACTCTCTTTAAACCTCCTAATTTGTCTATTGACCCATGGTCTATGTAGAGATATAATTTGGAATCGAATTAGGTCATGTAGGGTTGGTATAATCCCATCACCTCCTGTGTTTAATTGCTAATGGCTGGGGAATATATGCCATACTAGGCTGATAACGATTAGTGACTAAAATCTTATATAATGGGTGAGTTTCTTTTACTAATACTTTGAGTCATTTATTTTGGTCCAAACTTATGTCTCCTTGTCACATTTGTCTGAGATAACCTGGTAGCCTAGTTTGGTATTCTATGCATTCTACTAATACTCTGTTTACCTGCCTATTGTTCTAGAATGAACTGAAAACCAAGTGGGAGGCCGCTCAATCAATGCTAGAGGAATCAAGAAGGGACTCTCAGAAGAAATATGACGAGCTTAATGAACAGGTACCAGCATCGTGTGCTGATGTGCGTCCTTTAATTAATGCATGCATCCACATGTTCCATTTTCTTATATATAGTTGCATTATTTTCATTGATGGCTTTGGTTAACCCAATTCAAGTGTTGAGCAAGAATACAAAGTCTTGCAACAGCAGGTTTTTATTAGTACTTTTCGAGCAGGCCCCCCCCCCCCCCCCCCCCCCCCCCCCCCCCCCCCCCTCTTTCTAGCAGTGGAGTGTTATCCCCAAGGTTTTGCAGGGCTGGATGGTTTCATCCATCCTTTACCCCTAGCTGGTCCTGAGGTTGTGAATGGTCACTCAGACACATCATCCCGAACTGATCCTCCTCGGATTTTTCATGAATCCATTAACTTTGCCATTCCTTGGGTTCGCTATATGATCCGAGCTAAAGGAACCCAAATATTTTGACGAGTGACAAAAACTCACTTTTGAGTTGAGTTAATACTAAGTCATGAAAATAAATATAGAAGGATCCAAACCAGGGAAACTGATTATTTTGAAATCCGTATCTTTTGTAAGTATTGCCTGTGTCGTCTTCTATATTGCCAAACTTGTAAAATTTCTTTAGTATAGTAGTTGCCTGCTCCTCTCCTTGCATGCTGGCCTATTAATCGATTGGTGACTTGCATGGATACATGGCAACATTAGTTTTTCAGACAAAGGCTGACAGATGCATTAGAACCCTAAAAGTATATAGAGCAAGTTGAGTAAATTATTGAATAACTCTACATCAGCCTTGCACTATCATGGAAGTATACCATGTATATTATTGTGTCAATTCTATTTGTTTTTTGTGTTCCTCATCCTTGCTTCATCTCTATTGGCAGAATAAATTACTGCACAGCAGACTGGAGGCTCTGCACATCCAGTTGGCTGAGAGTGATCGGAGCTCAGTAGGAATGTCTTCTAGGAGTAATGCTGATCCAAATGCTGATGGAGGGTTGCAGAATGTTGTTAGCTATCTCCGGCGGTCAAAGGAGATAGTATGTTTTGCCAATTGAATCAATGTCAACGCTTCTACTAGAAAAGTCTTTACTTTGTTACAGTCGGACTAATAAGATAACATTATGCATTTCCTGTAGCATCTCATTTTAAACCATATGGATGCCTTACTGTTCTGATTGTCTATCTGATTTCAACAGGCGGAGACTGAGATTTCTTTGCTAAGGCAGGAAAAGCTGCGATTGCAATCACAAGTATGTTAAATAACTTGATGTCTTTTTCATCAATTACGCTTGTTGTTTTAACAGGTTGAGAATATTTGTGCAACTATGTGGCTGCTTCATTTTTGAATTATTAAATCTTATCAGATTTTGTATCCTGACAGTTCTGCGCTTCGATACAGCTCAGTGGTGAATACATTGAATTTTTTTTTCCCAGAGAGCAAACAGTTCTTACAACAGGCTCTGGCCTGATAAAGCAAAAAAAATTAAAAGTTAAAAAAATTAAAACAAAAATCTTAACCTATCTTTTGACTTAAGGTGGTTTCTTTACAGACTCATGGATAAATGCAACATAGCACACCACCAATTCATTTTAGTTTATCTCAGAATTTCAGCAAGTTGCTCCTTGAAATTCGGTCACAACTTAATGTTGCGGAAGTGTTCAGAGTTGTGCTTGTCTGTGTGAGACTGTGGCGGCACAATATTTCATGGACTGTTGTGTTGCTCAACTGTTTATACTACCAATTACCATTTACAACAACTTACCCTAATGAAATGGCGAGATGACTGGGATTCTTGTTGACCGTGTTAAATTTTCTGTTTTTCAGACGTGAGGCGTGGCAAGTTGATGAAATGGCCCCATTAGCTAATTGTTTGTCTATAAATAACCGTAATCTTGAATTCCAGAAAGGAAAAATTAATAAAAGAAGCAAATATTTTTTTTGGTGATGAGAATGATTGTTGAATAAAGCAGAATGTATACTTTAATACATTTACTTCTAACTTTAGGCATCAGTAATCTGCAAGCACTAGATAGGAGAAGCATATGCTAGTGTTATTCGTTTGTGTGCTCATATATGTTTTCCCGCCAATGGAACTGTAGCTTGAGAGTGCTCTGAAGGCGGCGGAAAATGCGAAAGTGTCACTCGGTGCTGAGCGTGCGAACTCAAGGGCCTTCATATTTTCAGAGGAAGAAATGATGTCTCTTCAGCATCAGGTGACATTGGATTCTTCCTTGACACATTACATGTGGTTGCAGTAAATCAGTGTCTAAGTTGTTGTCCTGTCACTTGGTGTTATTGTTATCACTGCTACGCCTTTTGGAGTGCTTGTCCTATTGCTTGACCAATTCGTTGAAAGTCGGTCATCGGTGCATTTATATTGTTGGGGTCAGGATTGGGGAGCACAAGCTGGGTTTGTGTTTTGTTTGAAGTAATTTTTTATTTGGTAGCCACATGCTTCTAAATTGGGTTATTCCCATAGTAATTTAAGGTTTGGATCAGTTTTTTTTTTTTTTGTGTTTGCGCAATACAAAAGAATCTCATGGTTTACTTTGAGGGATTGATTGCCGTATAAAACTCATCAGCTCTGAGCTGGGATTGTGCTTGTATGAAATCCATTATAATATTCTCTTGGATATAATTTCTTCTGTTTTTGTTAGGAAATTACGAATAAACTTTGGAGGTGCCTAACTGTTATTATCCTCATAACAAGAGTTCAACAACAACGCTCTTCATATTAATGAATAAGGACTATTTTGTGCTAAGCAATATTATGTAGGAAGAACTAAGGAAGTCGTAAACAACTCTATATAGCTATTAGATGTAACATGTTTATGTCGTTAATGCATCTTTCCATTCCTTTCAGGTTGAAGAGATGAACTTGTTACGTGAAAGCAATATGCAACTTAGAGAGGAGAACAAGCAGAGTGTTGAGGAATGTCAGGTACTTCTTTCTCGGTGACACTAGGGATGTTATCTGCATGTTTCACTCATTTTCTGGTAGTCGTCTCTTTTATAGTTAGACATAAGTCCTAATAATATAACTCATTTGATGGCAGAAAATGCGTGAATTAGCGCAAGAGACTGAAACTAAGGCAGACAATATGAAAATTCTGCTGAGGGGAAGAGAAGCAGAAATAGAAGCTTGCAAGAAAGAAATTGAAATGTCAAGAGCGGAGAAGGATTTCCTGCAAAAGAGGGTTTCTGAGGTAGTTCGTTTTCATATGTTTTCTTTGGCACCCATGTCTTTGAGAATTTTGTTGCTAACTTTTGTCGTGCAGTTGCTAGAGAAAAATATTAATGTGGAAGACTACGACAAACTTAAAGCTAATCTTCAGAGGCTGCAGGTAGTAATTATGAGATTCAGTCTCTCTTTGTGAATAATCGTTTTTTTTTTTTTTTGGTTTCTACATGCCCTTTCCGTTCAATTCCAGACAGGTAGCCATGTAGTCTGTTTTTGATAACCTTCAGACATTGTGCCTGCTTTTTTTCATTTTTTTCACCTGTACTAGTTCGTGCTAAATATATCGTAGTAGGATCTGTGTTCCTATTCTTTCAGTTTCAAGTTTCAACTGCTTTTAGTTATGAAACTATAGACTATTTTCATGCTACTCTAATACTTGGTGAGTTCCTTTCACCAGGAGAAACTGAAAGAGAAGGATGATCAGTTGGTGGATACGAAGAACTGCATGTCGAGGCAGCAAGAAACCCTGTCAAAGTTGGAGGAGGACCTTGGACGAAATGAGGCGGAGCTGAATAGTATAAAGTCCGAATTGGACAAGCAGAACAGAACGGTCACGCACTATAAGGTTCTTCTTTCGAAAGCCATTGTCAATTGCAAGTATATCTAATCGCATGTTATTATGTTCTGTCTTGCCGGGATAACTTATTATGGGATTATTCATTGTCGTTTGTCTGGTTATTTTAAATTGCTGTGCTTTTAGAGAAGAAATAATAGTTTGTCCAAGGAAAGGGATGAGTTACTCAAAGAAAAGGATGCAGCTAACAAACAGATCGAGGAATTAAAGCAAGGTATTTCTCTCTGGAAGAAAAGTCAACAACTTGTTGTCTTCCATATTGAGAAATGAGAACTTACTATTGTTGTACAGGCAAGAAGGTTATCGGAAACGCTGGTGGTGAACTTGCCGTTAAGGAAAAGGAGGAGAAAGACACCAGAATACAGGTTCCCAGGACAGGGGAATGAAAAAACCAGTTTAAAACACTAGTTGTTGATTTCATGTGGGTCTAATTTGTGTGCTCAATCATGCAGATGCTAGAGAAAATGCTGGACAAGGTGAGAGACGATTTGAGAAAGGAAAAAGAAAATCATGACCTGGAGAAGGCAAAACATGAGAGTTCTGAAAAGACTGTTCAGGAATCTGTCAAGCATGTTGAGCAGGTGAGCTTATGTCTGTAATATATGCACATGTATCGTATTCTTGGAAATTGCTTGAAGTTTCATATATTAGTAGTTGGAAGCACTGGGTCTCGACATAATCTCTTGCATAGTCCACTTCCGTGCTAATCATTTTCAATTAATACAACGTAAAAGATAAAAACCATTATTGTTGCCACTTTTCCTTCCTAGTCCTGAACTCCATTTTGGTTGGCTTTTAGGAGAGATCAAGCTTTGAGAACAAATTTGAAAAGCATAACGAGGCCCTGAGGCGCCTTTCAGATGAGCTTGCAAAGCTTAAGCATGTCGAGGGCAGTCTCCCTGAGGTAAATGTGTTTGTTGAGTACTTGAGCTCAGTTTGTGTTAGTCCACTGTTTTTTGTGAATTTCTCTCACTATTATTGTCTAAATGTTCCCATTATTAGGGAACTTCCGTTGTTCAGATTCTTTCTGGGAGCATTCTGGGTGATCATGCTGCTGTTTACCTGTCAGCCGTTGAAAATTTTGAGAAAATAGCCACTTCCGTGCTGGGTGAACTTGGACCGACTCCTCCAGTAGAAACCCCTCCAGCACTGGATGCTCCTGCACCAGTTCCAACTGGTAATTCCTTCTACTCACTTGATTCACATCACTGTCAACATGAAGCTGTCTCTTGATAATATGGTATAATGAGATATACCTTTTAAGTGATGAAAAAGAAACAAGTGGATTTGGGGAAATGTCTAGAAATGAGTTCAAGTTTAATAGTAGGTCCTTATGTTGTAAGAGCGAAGCTCCAAGCGAAATCTTGTCTTGGAGATGTGTTTTTCCTTTAAATTAATTTGTGGAATTGATGTTACATAGTTGTTTCAAAAAGTTAGATCCAACAAATGTGTCACCTAAGTGTCCTTATGGCTCTGAAAAATTTTCTCCTGACACAAAACACTCTCCATGCTATTTTTGTTTTGGTGATGTAGCAAGTCAAACAACTGCTCAAATTCCTGTTACCCGAGCCATTCCCACCAATCCAATTCCTGCCAAAGCTGCTGAAGAGAAGGACAAAAGATTTGTTGTCTCCCGCACGAACGTAGGTGAAGTTCGTAAACCAGGAAGAAGGTTGGTTCGACCCTGGCGTGGCAAGACAGAGGAACCTCAGGTTACTGATGCAGAGATGTCTGAGGTAACAGCAGATAAATCCAACCTTGGAGGGAAACCTGTTGCCGCATCCCAAGATACCGATGCTAATGCTATGCAAGGTAATCTAATAAGCTCATCATCTCAACCACTGAGCCGCAAACGGCCTTCACAATCTGTTGCCGAGGGTAGCGAGCAACAGATTCAAGGGGAGGCTCTTTCCCAGGGAGCTGCCCCTGTGCTAAAGAAGGCCAAGGGACAAGGCTCTTCAGAGGGAGGGGTGGCAGAAGTGCTGCCTGGCACATCAGCAGCCGACGTTTCTTTGGATGCAGCTGGTGATGTACTTACAGGAGGTTCAAATGAAGAAGTGATCGCTGCTGAAAATGAAATGGCCGATATTGTTGGGGACAAGATGGATTCAGATGTTATAGGTGGCAGCGGGGACCAGGTGGAAGTACAGAACCAGAAGAGTGATGATGCGGAGGATACTACTTCAGATAAGCCGACGAGTGGGACATTAGTTATCGAGATTGATGAGAGCCTGAAGGACGAGTTAATGGTTGAAGAGGACCAACAAGGTGACAGAGAAGAGGGAGAGCTGCCATCAGATGTTTCTGAAGCTGAAGGTGGTGCTGACGTGGGCAGCCCTGAAAGTGGGGAGTTCATGCCCGAAGGCGGCATCACACCTGAGTCATCACCATTGAGGATGGAAGAAGAAACAGCAGCCCCTACAGAAGATCTCGAGGCCGGCGAAATCCCAGATGACGAAAATGATACAGCGGATACCTCTAACATTGGTTCCGAGAAGGCAAATGACACTGACGACCAGAATGCAGTGGTGGAAACCGATCAAGGTCAGGAAACCACACCGGTTGCTGGGGACGTATCCACGACCAATGCGAGTGCAGATGCTGATGTGGTGAAAGCAGAGGCAGCGGAGGTGGTGAAGCAGCAGGTTTCGCCAGCGAGTCAGGCATCAACAGTCGTTAATTTAGCTGTCAGAGCCAGGGAACGGGCTCGTATGAGACAATTAGGAGCAGCCGCTACGAGTTCACTCCCTGCAGCAGCAGCCTCGCCGAGTGCATTGAGAGGTCGTGTCAGAGGTTTGGTACGTGGTCGGGGTGTGGGTGCACGAGTGTTGCCACGTGGTGGAGGGAGAACTGGTGGACGTGGAGGCCAATCATCTGGCCAACAAGGCTAGGCTAAACCCTACTACGCTCTTTACTCAAGTGGGGTGTGCCTTCCCTTTTTGTTGGTTGTTTCCAGTTCATGGTTCGAAGTGACAGTCGATCGACTCGAGCGTTCGAGGAGTACTGGGGTTGTCGGTTTAGTAGACGGTTTTGGTAGGCTGTTGTTGTTTTCATGTTGCTGAGAGTAAATCTTCCTTTGCCTAATATAAATCTGTAGACTGTACAGTGCATCTGGGTTTTGCAAGTGTTTTTGGCATGAACTCTAAGAATTGTGATTAGCAGGTTGTCACGCCGGCCGGCGTGCCACCGGTTGGACATGGTTCAACCTGTACCGGTCATAAAACCGGCGTGACACCATCGATAAGACCGACATGATCGATATACGAATCTCTATGTAAAATAACCTTATTTAAGTGACTTCAATTGTTAAAAATTATTTTATTATTTATGTATGAGTATAAATGTTAAATATTGATGTTATTTGTTGGATTCAAGTATAAATGTTTAGGTATTGACGTTAAATGTCATGTTTAAGATGAGTATTTATAATTTTATTTGTAATATTGACCTGCATGAACCGGCACAAACCGGTAAGTGCCACCGGTCGAACCATTCCACTTGCTAAATCGGCACATTGGCATAAACCGGTTTGACAACCTACTGATTAGTACTAGTATTATGCTGGTTAGTAGGTCGATTTAACGAGCTATATGAAGGCGGGATTACGAAGTTGTTGGGCCAGCCATATAAGAAAGTTGGATGCTTCAATATCAGGATGTATGCATAGTGTGTACTCAGACAAATTTAGTTTTTTTAGGATAAATTGCAGAGTTATTATTTGTCATTTGAAAATTTTTATTTCATTTGTTGTCACTAAGATTCGTATTATAGTCCAAGTTAGATATTGGCCGTTACCTTCAATGAGCAATTGAGCATTTGTTAACGAACGACCCATCGCATCAGATATCTTGATCCAACTCACGACCCAATCCTTCTTGTCCATCCCTTAACCAAGATCCCCGCATCTACATTTAGTTTGTGTAAACCCCCTGGTCTGATTTTTTTCTTTCTTTCTAATTATGCTATTCCATTCGTCGTCTTTTTGGGCGATTGGTGCATTATGAACTCTTCAAAATAGGCCGGCGATCTAGCTATAATCTCTCATTCTTCTATAAGGACACTCCAAACTTTATTTATTATCCACACGGGCTAACATCATGTGACTATAAGGGAGTTCTTTAATCACATGATTAAACCAAATCCAGCCACTCATTCAAATTCTAATCTAATGCTTCAAATTAATCTCATTTAATGAAGGGTAGAGTGATAATTTCATATTTAATTTATTTACCTATTAAAAAAATAATTGGGCAGAGACGAGTCAAACAACGACACCTGCATCCCTACCGTTCCGACGGTCGACTGTTCCTCCCGCCTCCCTTCAGTTCCGCCGGCAGTCCACTTTTCTCGGCGAGCGTCCATACACAGCTCATGCATTTCTCTCCCCAACCCAGTTTTCATCTTTTGTGTGAGAGAGAGATACGATCGACTTTCCGGTGGCAGAGTCTTCTCGACGACCAGAGACGGTAGAGGAGGATTTTCCAGCAGCAATGATGGTTTCGTGATGTTTGTCAACTTATTTTGTAATGTTTTTACGTCCAGTTTGTAATGTTTATATCAATTCAGTTGTATCGTTTATCATTCTAGTTTGTTATTTTGGTCTATTGTGTTTGTAATGTTATATGACTAATTTGCTAATAAGTTGATTTATAGTATTTGTTAGTCTAGTTTGTATACTTTGTATTCATTGATTTGTAATACAATTTAACCGATTTGTATTGTAAGTAGTGTTATTTCGTATTGTTAGTATGCTTTGTAATGTTTGTCGGTTTATTTTGTAATGTTTGTAAGCTTTGTTATTTTGTAATGTTTGTCGGGTATTTTTGTAATGTTTGTAACCTTAGTTATTTTTGTCCACCATGTTTGTCATTTTTGCCAACCATGTTTGTAATATTTCTTATCTCTAAAAAACAAACTGGTTGACTTTTGGATGAAATCTTCTATATAGAGACGGAGCATCCAAAGTCAACTCGGGTGTTTTTCCATTTGGTATGGTTTGTCTGTCTAGTTTATCATTTTTGTCCACCATGTTTGTATGTCTAAAAAACAACCGGGTTGACTTTGGGACGAAACCCTTCTATATAGGAATTGAAACTCTAAAGTCAACCTGGTTGTTTGTCGGTCTAGTTTGTATTCAGTGGCGTAGTCAGGATTTTACGCAAGGAGGTGCAATTTTCTTAATTAAAATAAATATATCTTATATGAGAAATTATTAATTCTATTTAGTGACTCACAACATTTTTCCACTATATAAATTTAAAAATATATGGTCTTATAAACTACAAAAGATATTATTGTCAATATACCCTGCCAAATGATTCATGATTTTCCTTATCATTACATCCATGGAGAGTTACGTTAAAGTCACTCTAGTGATTATGGATAGCTGAGTAACATCGATTGGAATGAGATGGCAGAGGTGAACGACTTAGTAACCACGTTTGGTTGGATAGTTAGATATTGGACGCATAGTGGTGTTGTGTGAGGTTAAGAGTCACCACAATTTAGAGTTAACAATTATCTAAAACATTAGAGATTTAAAAGATTGAATTAATCATATATGATTTCGTTTATATAATTGAAGATAATTTAAATGTACATTCTTAATTTAGTTTGATGGTAGAAATAATTAAGTACAAGGAGGAATAACCTTCTATTTTAAAGTTCCATTGCAAACAACCTACTATATATACCACTCTCCAATCCTTTCTCCAATCCAAGGGTGTGGAGGGGCACCCTCTCCCTACACACTCCCTCCGCCCCTCTTTGTACTAGTTTGTATGTTTGTATGTTTTGTCGTTTTAGTTTATATTGTTTGTATGGTGTGTCCAGATCTAAAAGCTAGCAGGGACTTAATCAAGTGACTAAGCACCCCCCCTTAATCATAGAATCCGGCCTCATCCACGGGTAAACCCTTGTTATAATGTACTATCAATTCGTGATTATATTCAAGAGAATTGTCTATCAATAATGGCGACAAGTGAGCTTTCTTATAAAATTCTCGAGTCGAAAACTACATTTACTTGCATTAGGACTAGAAAATTCTCTACAAGGGAATAGGGAAGACTCAACCTAAATCCACACTAGAAGAAAAATCTTATCTTACAAAATATTAAAGGGGTTTGGAAAACCAACCCCCTCCACGTAAGTCGTAACGGCTTCTTCGGCCATCGATGCATGGCTAAACGTCGCCCTAACTTACTATTATAATTAATTTAACCATTTTCCTTCCGATCCAGGGTGGGTCCCGGCCTCTCACACTCTCCCTCCGCCACTATATATATTTTGAGTACATAACAGACTTTACATGGAGGCACTCTAGTTGGAGGGCCTCATAGCACACACTATTGCCACAACGGGTGGTTTATTATTTTATATGAACTTCAAATAATAGCACTTAGTTTTTTTTACGTTTATATGGGTAATACATTTTAATTTCTACATAAATAATATTAAAATTAAATAAAAATTCATCCTTGAAATATTAATTCTCAATTTTATTACTCTTCTACCAAATCCTCTTCCTATTGAAACTTGCACTGCACTTATAGAAAAGATATTTGCAATAAGCTACGTGAAAAACACTCTTCAAAAATTGAATGACAAACAAAATAATGAATGATTATATGATAGTTTATATTGATATGAGTATCATATGAATGTGTCTTGATTTTTTTCGAAATACGAGCCTACAATTCGGGCTTTGTGATATGGTAATAAGCCCAAAATTAAAATAGTGGAATTAAAAAAAAAAACCAAACCACCTTGTATAAAATTCTATCTACACTACTTGGTTTATAGTTTGGGTTTCGAAAATTAGAGTATGGGGTTCACTGAGTAAAAATTTGGATATTATATCATATGACCCAAATCGCAATTAATTCATGATCCACACAGCTCGCTAAAAATAGGATAAGTAGAGCGTGTGACAATCTTGACCATCTATTTTATATATCTATCTATATCTATATCTATCTATCTATCTATCTATCTATCTATACTATATATTATGGCAATTCAAAATCAATGTCTTGCCACATAAGCACTTGGAGGATCCACAATTTGCCAAGTTGGACAACTTTTTTACAAACAAAAAAGTTAGTTATTAATGTATTTATGGAGCTACCTCTCTATTCTTTAATATTTCCTTTTTTTATCCAATTATTCTTTTTTTCATTTATCTATTTTTTATTATTTTCCTTTAATAATAATTTACATGTTGATAAAATAAACCAAACACACATAAATAATAATTTTTTATCAAGTAAACAAAATATAAATAAGAAAACAGAGAGTGACACATATCACATTTTTCCAAATAAAAAATATATGATTAAAGCATATGAAGTAAATTTTCTACTCATTTTTACTAAAATTGAATGATAAGTTACATTTTGATGAAAAAATTAAACAAACATACACATAAATAATAATGTTTTTAATCTAAAAAAATATATGAAAAGACCGAAAATAAATATTTGACATTCAATTACCTTTGAAAAAGAAACTATATTACTTTATATTTTGTTGCAATGAAATAATCACTTATTCGTAAAGTATATGTCTATAAAAATAAGTTATATGTTGATAAAATTAACCAAACACACATAAATAATAAATTTCTATCAAGTAAACCAAATATAAATTAGAAAACAGAGAGTGACACATATCACATTTGTTCAATAAAAAATATATGATTAAACCTTATGAAGTAAATTTTCTACTCATTTAAACTAAAATTGAATGATAAGTAACATTTTGATGAAAAAATTAAACAAACATACACATAAGTAATATGTTTTTATCGATTAAACAAAATATATGAAAAGAGTGAAAATAAATATTTGACATTCAATTACCTTTGAAAAATAAACTACATTACTTTATATTTTGTTGCAATGAAACACTCACTTATTCGTAAAGTATATGTCTATAAAATAAAACAATTATTATTTAGCAAAATGTTAGAGTATAATCTTGATCGAGTAGTTACAGTTATTTATTTAAAAAAGACTTCTTATTCATTCAGATCATGTTCTACCTTAAACTCCTCAAATGAAGAGGAATTGAATATGCAATAATTTTATGATGTGTCCAAAGTTGACATTAATAATATTTAATCTAAATCATGTTTGATTGAGAAAGCTCTATTGAGTTCCTAAGTTGTATGCTAAGAATTTTTCTTTCAGACTAGGAGTTATCGTCGACGATTATAAATCAAAATTTTCAAAATGACTTAAGTATGATTGTTGGCGAACTTTGACTTCATACCCTAAGATGAGGCACAAGATTCCTTGAAAATAACATATGTGAAGGTTAGAGATTTTTTGTTGAGAATCTACAATAAACATCACGTATCATCAACTAATAACCTAGGCATTT